ACACAGGTGCACTCACATACATGCAGGCAATACACTCATACACATAAAATTCAAAATAATAAATAAAATATTTTTAAAAAAGAAATGTTAAAGTTAAGTTCGGTGATGAGAGGATGCAAAGATGGGAACTCTCACTTTGTGGTGCCCATGTATGTGGTACAAACACAGAGGGTAGCATGCCGGCAGTACCCACTCATCTGGAAAGCATGTACCCCATGTGACCTAGCACTGCAGGCCTGGGTAGAAAACCAAAGGAAACTCCTATACATGCATCCTGAGAGGCACACATGATAGTCACAGCACAGTGTCAGAGTAGCCAGATACAGTGATAGCCCACATATTGTTGGAGAAAAGTGAATAAATCACAGTAAGTATAGTCATAGCATGGACTATTATACAACAGTGAAAAGGAACTCTCTGCAGCATGAATAGATCTCAACACCAGAGATGGAACTAGAGAAGGAAGAATAAAGTGTGCATGGAAAAGGCTCAGAGTCAAGCCAGACAGAAACTTGGAACTGGAATACTTAGTCAAGTTCTTTTCCAAAATGCAAGGAAGAAGCTGCAACTATAAAAGTGCCGTTGGCCATCACCAGTCATTGGTCACTGGTCATCCCTGAGAGAAGGGGACATTTCCCCAAGGGCATGACAGAGCCTCAGGGCTTCTAGTGTGGCCTGGGCTGTGTGAATATTCCCAAGTGAGCCCCTGGTACTTCCAGGATATACTTTTCTGAATGGAGTGTTATCTCACATGACAGTTTAAAGAAAAGCCAATGAATTGCACATGTCAGCACTTCATTAGCAGGAACAAATTATTTACAACAGCAGCACCCTGCTCCAGCAGAAGCCCTCGTCTTCCATCTTCTAGTCTTCCGCAGCAGGCATTCCAACCACACTAACTGCACCAAGAGGGGAATTAGCCATGCTGGCCTGAAGCCCAGCCCTAAGCGTTATAAGGGTGACACTTCACTGATGCAGGTCTCTTAACAGGATAGTATGAGAGGACAGAGCTGACTGCCCTCGGGGGTGTTGGGTGAGATGTTGACTTTGTCTTTCTCCCTGTGAACTTGGAGCCCCTTGGGGGAAAGCCAGGGCTGGCTCTTTTCTAGGCCCATCCAGCAGGGGGCACTGGCAGAGAGGGTGCTTGGTCTATATTTGCAGCACTAGATGATGTGATTAAACCTCCAGCTGGGTAAATGCTTTTTTCCCAGTCCTTAAAACTAAAAAAAATATAGAGCCAAGTGAATCTTGCCTCCCCATTTCATAGATTTCATTCACCTTAAAGTTTTTAAGGGTTATACATGTTATGGCATAGATTTGTACTTTGTCCCATTTTATTGTTGAATAGTGCTCCATTGAAAGGATGTACCATAATTTATTTATTTACCAGTTGATGAACCAGTTCATTTCCAAATTTAGCCATTATGAATGTTATGATCACATAAGGGTTTTTGAGCAGGTATGTGATTGTCTTTCACTTGAGTAGACATTCGGGAATAGAATCACTAGGTTGTAGTATACATGATATTTAGTATTTAAGAAATGAAACAAGTTCATAAGAGCCAAAATACACATGCTTTCAGAAGTCTGTCTGTTTATACACTTAGCTTGGTGGCTGGGAGTACAAACTGTACTTCTGCCACTGAAGGTCATGGGCTCTTAGACAAATGACTTTGTGCCTCTATATCCTCCTCTGTGAAAGTGGGTGATCTGAGGGGTTGGTGTGAACACTGATGGCTCCTATGGGTGTTATAAAATCTTTGGGATATATAGTTGAGACATGGTCTAGCACTATAGCCCAGGCTGAACTTGAACTCATGATCCTCTTGTCTCAGCTTTCCAAGTACCAAGGTTACAAGCATACACCACCATGCCCAGCACAACTTTTTTTTTAAAAAAAATGGTAAATTAAGCAAAGGCCCTGTGGGAGGAATAGCATCTTTCCCAGAGTCTGAAGATTTGTGGGGTTATCATAGATCTACCTCAGAACAACTGGGCAGCTTTAAGCAAATTACATGTCCCTTTTGAGTTTCCTCCCCAGTACAGCAAGCTGCAAGAATGTTGGAGATGTGTCAGTGCTGTGCAGATGTGCTGGGCTCCTGTCCTGACTGTGACCTCCCATTAGGGCATTCACCAGCAACTGGGGGAGGGGGGACTTTTCTGTCTATGAAACTCCTTTAAGTGAATACTAGGATGGTGGAGAGCAAAGTCGTTGACTCAGGGTCCCTGGTTCAAATCCTACCCTAGGCACTTAGGAAGCCATGGCCTGACTTCAGTTTGCTTATCTATAGAACAAGGATAGTCACAGCCCTCAGCCCCAGCTCCTGAAGCATTGGAAGAATCAGACGGGTGAAATGGGAACCTATTCAGACCCTGTCTGATGAAGGTTTGATGAGGGTAAGCCATGAGGGTAAGCCATGCTAAACTGCATGTGAGATCTGGAGAGCTCACAGTTCTAGGAGAGGAACTCTCTTCAGATCCCAAGGGGGCACCAAGCGCTGTCAGTTGTCAGTGACCCCCCTGGGGGTTTCAGGACCATCCCATCTTGGGTTCTGCAGTAGAAGCAACAACCCTGCCTGCCATTCAGGGGATCAGGCTGAGAACCCAGGGGAGGAGGAGACATTAGCTTCCTTCCACAGACCTCTTTCCCTCTGTGGGAAACAGGGTTGCAACAAAGCTTCCCAAAGGCCAGGGAACCCCAAGCTGCCCTTCTCTGCTGAGTTGGTAGAGCCCTGTATCACATGGGAAATTGCAACGTTCTCACATGGGCCATGGTGCTGAGAAGGACTCAGCTTCAGCTGCCCCTTGATCTGCAGGAAATGCCAGGCTGGATGCCTGGCAGGAAAGGCTCTCACTGCATCTGGGTCTCACTCCATTAGAGACCACAGACTGGGCTTCCCCAGGCTTCTTTTAGTGCATAAAAAGTTAAATTAAGGCCACCAAGCCCATGCTCATCTTCCCACAGGGGCCAGGGAGTACTTTCCAGCTCCCCACCCCCTCCTTATTCAACTGAGCTCTGTACTAATCCTGTACACCCAAAGCCGTGAGAAGGTGCTCTTCAGAGAGCCTGGTTCTAACTATGTTGCAAAGGCTGAGCAAACACAGGAGCCTGTGGACCTGGGTCTAAGTCCTGGCTTTCAGACTGGCCACTTCCCAAGCCCTCTCTGCCTCAGGACTTTCCAGCACACTGTGAAGTTCCTGCAAGGAACCAACAGTCATTTGGATTGCTTATTTTCTGCCTAATAAGTGCCTGGAAGAATGGAAGGAATATTATTTTCCATCTGTCTCTCCATTAGTCTTCACAGCACTCATGGGAGCTAAGAGGCTCTGATTAATCTCATTTCAGATGAGGAAACTGAGGCACAAGAAGTCAAAGGCACTGCTGGCGGTTCCCCAGCAGAGCCGCGATTCACACCCAGACAGCTGATCTTAACCACGACCTACTCTAACTCAACTGCCTCTGAGTCCTGTCGAGGAAACTCAGGTCCAGAAAACAGAAGAAAGGCGCTCCCTGGGCTTTCGTTCACAGCTCTTTCCTTCATCTGCAGCGCCACTGCCCGGCAGGGATGAGCTGCCTGGGTATCTCAGAGCTGGACTCTGTTCCGTTATGTCTGGCATAGCTAGGACACCAGGTGCCCCTCCCTGTGACCAGGCTTTCTACGGACCGAGTGGACACCAGACCTCCCCAAGCCCGCACACGACCTGAGCACGGATGCTCAGTGCGCTTAGAAGGAACTGTCGCCTCTGGCGGTGTCTGTGCTGCCAAAATCCCTTTCCGCCCAACTCGAACACTCCGGTGACCCGGCTCCATCGCCCGGGCGAACAGGGGCCCGGGGCCCGGGAGGACCAGGGGCAGGGCCGCCAGCTCGGAGCACTCCCTTTTATGTCCAGGAATGAGGCGAGCAGCATCCTGCCAGCACCGCGTCCCGGGGGCGCAGCCGCCAGTGCTACCCGCGGCCAGGTCACTTACCTGTCCCGGCGTGAGTCTGCAGGACAGCGGAGAACAGCGCGAAGGTGATGGAGAGCAGCCATGGCGGGCGGTAGCCCTGCTCGGTCCTCCTGCAAGGAGCGATGCACAGAGGTGAAACTGCAGCCGGGGCGTGGGGCAGGGGAGCGGGGACCGGACGCGGGTCCTACCTGGGTGCCATCGTGCTGGCGCGCCAAGCCCAGCTCCGCTTCCCTCGCGGAACAAAAGTGGAGGCGCTCAGTGGCGACTGCAGGATCCCTGCTGCCTGCCGGCACCCTCGCTCTGAAAACCGACTCCGCTGAGCCCTGGGCTCCCCGAAGCGCGCGGCGCCCCACCTCGCCCGCCGGTCCCCGCCGCGCCTCCCCACGCCCCTTTCCTCCTGCCGCCCCAGGCTGCCTTATATAACCCTCAAGGAAAGCCCATTCACTCGCGGACAAAGCTCTGAACAGCCCAGCCTGCTGGTACCGCTGAGGTTTCCTTACATGACCGGCCAGGAGACAGGCTCCCAGAGGAGGGCGGTTTCCCAAAGTCACACCACCGAATGCACTCCCGACTATGTCCCACCCAGTGCGCCTGCCCCAGGATTCCACTTGCATGCCCCGGAGTGTCCGTCGTGGGAGATGTAAGTCATATACAGAACTAGGACTTTGAAGGTCACGTGCTGTCCCCTGAAAGTTTTGGAATCCCATAAAGTTGACCACCATGGGCACAGCCTTAGGAAATCTGATCCAGCCTCCTCCCTCTTGTCCCCATGTTAATGATGGAGGAACTGAGGTCCAGAGAAGGCATGCAATTTACTGAGGCATCTACTCATTGAGGGACACAGGCCAGGAGACCCGTTATAGAAGGAAAACAGGGAAAGTCTCAATGTTGACCAGGACACATAGAATCAGATGAGTTCCCTGCCCAAGGAGACAAACCCCTTAACTAACTAGCAGCACAGAAGGTGGGAATTGTTACTGGTGCTCTTGGACACTCAGCATCCTAGCTCTGTTACACAGTGTGTTGAAAATGGAGAAGTCTGTAGGTGAGGATGCATCCCTTCCCAGTCAGGACGATTCTAGGTGTTAGTGAACTGTGCCTAATTTTCAGAGTGCCTGGTGCAGGACAGTGGGAGTCTCTTCCTGCTATTGGTCCAGGAAATGATCTTACCATCAGACAGCACTAGCAAGACCGATAGGGCCATAGATAGTCTAAAGGGACTACAGTACCAGGAGCTGAAGTGACTCTAGAGCTAAGATGACTCCAAGGGAATGTTCAAGAAAGACAAAGTGCATTCTAGTGACACCGCCCACTTTGACATCTGTTCACACTTTCTGTGGATGTGAACTCTCTCCCCCTTGCAGCCCTTCTGAGATGGACATAACTTTATTACAAATCACTAACCAAAGGGAATTGACTTCCTTAGGTCTGTTTTTCTCTATTGCTTCCAAAGTGCACCAGTTGAGGCTAACTGGCTCCCTTAGAACAACATGTCTGTATTACCTAGGAAGATCACACTCAATATGAGGACAGAGTTGCTCTACGCTTCTGTTTGACAGTTAAAGTCAGGGGCTATGAACTAGTCATGGGCTCCACGTGGCCCACAGATAGGTCTTGTTTAGTTTACGGGGGAAAAAAACTCCAAATTAAAGTAATTAACAGTAACAATATTTTATAATTAGGAAATTGTCCATTAGGATCCAGGTTTTGGAGGACTAGAGAGATAGCTCAGCAGTTAAAAGTTCTGGCTGCTCCTACAGAGGACTGGGGTTTGGTTGTCGGTACCCATATGGAATCTAACAACCATAACTCCAGTTCCAGGGAATCTGCTGTCCTCCTCTAGCCTCTGCAGGCATTGCATCCAGGGCTGTACTCATACGCATTCAGGTAAAACACTCATACACATAAAATAAAACAAAAAAATCTTTTTAAAGACTCAGATTTGAGGATTTTTTTTTAATTTAGGAAAACCTGACGGCATGGGGCATGCATTCTATGAGCCAAAACTCATTGGTGTTGAATCACTTAAAGCAACACCCTCGTTTATTACAGCCTTCCCCCCCACCACCACCACTCCAGTGGCTTACCAACACTAAGGCAAAAAATCAGTTCTACTGAGGACCACACTTGAACTCTCTCTTTGCTTACAAGAAAGAATGGGACTGGGTTGAGCGCTCATGACCCTGTTTCAAATGAGAAAATAAAAGACAGAGAGAGAAAAGGCCATGTTCAAAGGAAGATGGGGGAGAACATAGTTGTGTATGTTTAATACACAAATGAAAGTGTCTTCATTGAAAAGCACAAAAATGAAGATGCTGTTATGCAACAAGTTCTGAGTGCCATCCACAGAATGAAGTACACCTGCCTTTTCACTGATGGGCTTGAGCGTAGTCCAATTCATCAGTCCAAAGTGCAGGTGGATAAGGCAGCAGACTCCTTTACAACTCTCCCAGGGAAGTCCTGTGTGCAAGGGTAAGTGTCTAACACCCAATTCCCAAGGATATGAAGATGAAGGTTTTCGAGGTTCTTTTCTGTTTGTGTGCTTCTTTGTTTGAGTCAGGGTCGCACTACATAGTCCTAGATGATCTGGAACTTTCTATATAGACCAGGCTGGTCTCAAACTCATAGAGATCTGCTTGCCTCTGCCTTCTGAGTGCTGGGAGTAAAGGTGTGCACCATGCCAGTGGTTCTTGAGCCTTCTTCTCTCCCTTCTAAGTGATTGGAAATAGCCCCATGCTGCTATTGATGATTCTGTATCTATTTCACCTAGGAAGCCTGACCATGCTCACAGACAAGAAGGCTCTTATTTTTGGAGTTTGGCTCAGAGGTGGGAATTATGACCTAAGATTGATGGAGAATAGGGAAGATCTCAGGCCTGGGAGCTGGAAAGGGGGGAGGATGGTCCCAGCTGTGGGTGTGGGATGGATGAGGCAGGAAGCCAAGCAAGGCATTCCACCTCCTGCCAGACAGTACTGTGAGGGCTTAAGCGATTTCCTTCCATTCAATGTGAACTTGTAGAAATAGCCAAAAGGAAGCATGGTGTCATACCCAAGCTAGTCTAAATTGTTTATCATGGTTCAGGCCAATCTGCAAGATTGGGACGTGTGGAGACTGGGGATTTAATGTCCCAGCTCTTCTAGACTTGACTAAATGAATAGGCTGTTGCATTTTCCTATAATCCATCCAAATATTCCAGAAGACTCTGCATCTAAAAGCATTAATTCTCAAGACTGTCTCCAGAGTGGAAGGGGCACAGAATCTTGGGAGAAGTGCCTCAAACTTGGTTTGGAAAGAAGATGCCAAGAACCAGTCATCTTAAATTTGACTTTCTTCAGTACATGGGTGTGATATCTCCTCTGTATCTCACAGAGATACACAAAGTCTGCCTCATCCTCTGATTAACGAGCAGAGGCAGCATAGACGTCACTAGCTGACTGGAAGGGAATTTACTAGAATAACCAGAGAAGATGGCTGCCTCTTGGATAATCAAGAGAAAAACATGACAATTTCAACACGCAGCCTCTACTCAGGAGGGTGCTGTGTTCTTGAGCCCCTGCATAAGAGAGAGGACCAGGGGAAACTTTGTTCGGTATGACAGATGATGATGGGTTTGAAAATCTGACAAACTAGGATTGGAGAGGACAAGAGAAAACAGGAGAGAGGGTGTACCCGACAACTAAGCACACTGTCACTGCCCTGTCCGTATGTCCCTGCTGTGACTTTTGCCATCTATATGCATGATGGCCATCTTCTACCTGCACACCTGTATCCCTTTACCTGAGTGCTTTCTTTGGCCCTGGAGCCTGTTCTGTCTACAAATAAAATAGAACACACACACACACACACACACACACACACACACACACCTTCCAAATTTTAACTAATGGAATCCAGTCAATACATTTCTGCCTTCCTCGTCCATACCTCTTCCAGATAGTGTTCCAAGAAAGTAACATCTTCATCTTCTCCTCTCCAAGACTGATGTTTTTAATAAGTAGAATGTCATGTTATCGGGATTTGTGGGGCCTGGCTATCATTTGTCAGATCTTTTCTTTTCTTTTCTTCTTCTCTCTCTCTCTCTCTCTCTCTCTCTCTCTCTCTCTCTCTCTCCTCTCTTGGGGTGCTAGGAATGCACTGGGACACACACACACACACACACACACACACACACACACACACACAGTGCCACCAAGCTACATTCCAGCCACATTTAGAGTAACTTCTAAGGCATTTTGGAACATGGTCTCACAATACTGAATTAGCCATGGGCTCTCCATTTCCTGTCTTGCCACCCACTTTTCTTCTTTGCTCCCCAGGACTGTACTCCGTAATGTGGATTGGCTTACGCACTGCTTACTGCTTGAGACCGTTCACCACAGGCCATTCACTTACATGCTCAGCATGTAAGACTTGCCTTGCATGCTACTGTCCATGTAGCCCAGGATGGGAGAAGGGGTTTATCACTCACACTTTGACGTGCTCATGCACCTTGGTTGGTATCTGAGGTAGCTATCTCTTCCTGCATGATGGGAAGGATCAACTTGCATGATGTCAGCAACAAAGGGGACTAACATTACAATCAGAGGTGTGCCCCTATGGTCTACAGCTGGAGAGTTAACTTAGCTCTATGGAAAAACAGTAAAATGTGGCCCCCTCTTTGCCATTTAGGTACATTTTGAGAAATCTCCCCTGAGAAGGTATTTGCCAGGTCATGCTGTAACTCACCACCAAAGGCTGTGTTGATGTGTTCCAGTCAAGATGCCACATCTGTCCTAGCACTGCAATTGATCTAGAACCTGGCCACATTCAGCAAACCACTACCATAGGTTACAACCCATTTGGCACTTTCCAGGGCCCACAGAAGTGAATTAATGGAAATTCACTTATGCCCAGCACGCTTTTGCCTTCATGCCTCTGATCTCTTCAGTACTTCCTGGGGTCTGTGTTATTTCTGATTTGCTACTTTCAAGTGGGGAAAGTCATTTCAAGGACATCCACTTGAGTTTTCATAGCAGAAGTCAAGTTGCTAATGTAAAGGCTCTGCCGGAAGGTCAATCGCTCTATCTTTCTGAGTTACATACTTGAGATTAGGCCCCCATGGTACAGGAAGCACAGATAACTGTGGGAACAGGTAGTTCACAGACTCTCACAGCACCTGTTTGATTTGCACCAAGACTCCTTCTTCACCTCACATTTAGGGCATCATAGGTAGTTTACTACAAGCAGTAATAAGAAAAATGAAGAATCCACCAGCTGTGGCACAGATAAATCAGTGTGCTACAGGTGCTGATGGGATATAGACTGTTACAGTCCTGCATCATTCTCCAGAGTGACTTGAAGAACAAAGGTGAAGAGCTCTCCCAGTGGGTTCAGCTGTGAGTGGGCAGCCACCCACCTCTTTTGAAGGATGAAGGAGTGGTTTGTTTAGTTGTTTGTTCGGAGAGACCTGAGAATTTGATGCAAGTCTTGGATGATGGCCAGTGGTCTA